TAATTCTGTTATGGTCAGAGAACATACTTTATGTCAATCTTTTTAAACTTATTAAGGCTTGTTTTATGAGCCAGAATATAGTCACTGTTGAACATCTTCACACTTCAATTTCCTATTTCAGCATACCCCTTCTCATGTCACACCTCACACTTCAAATGTCCCACTTCCTGCTTTCCACCTCATGCTTCCCATATCACAAATGTAATAACCTTATAATAGTATAAATGTATTTATCCTCCCTACAACCCAGCTTTTGGTGGTGATTATTATATCTTTTACTTCTATATTTGTTATAAACCCCACCTCACAATGTCTCTACTATTTTTATTTGAAACAATCAGTTCTTAGAGTAAATCATGAAAAAACAAAGTCTTTTATATTTACTCAGTTACCATGATGGTCTTCATTCCTTCCTATAGTTCCAGATTTCCATCTGGTCTTAGCTCATTTTGGTCTAAAAGGCAAATTTTAACATTTCTTGTAGTGCAGTTTTACCAATGATGAATTCTCCTAGATTTCATTTATCAGGAAGTGTCTTGATTTCACCATCATTTTTGAAGGATATTTTTGCAGAAGATAGAATTTTGGGATGACAGGGGTTTTTTTCCAGCATTTAAAAGAAACTGTTTGTCTTCTAGCATGCCTTGTTTCTGATGAGAAGCTGCAGTTATTCTTTTATTAGTTTTGTAGTTTGTTCAGGTTCATGAATCTTTACATTATTTTTCACATTTGGGAAAGTCAGACATTATTTTAAAAATATTTCTTTATGCCCCAATCTCACTTTTCCTTATGGGTCTAGTTATACATATGGTAGACTATTTTATATTGCCTCATAGGTCTTTATGAGGTAATTTGCACTGATCTGTCATCAGGTTCACTGACTTTATTTTGCTGTATCTAATCTGTTGTTAAGCCTATCCAGGGAATTTTTTCAATTATTTCATTTTTTAGTTTTAGCACTTCTGTTACTCTGTTAGAACTTCTATTTCTCTACAGATTCCTTATCAACTCACTCACTGAGACCATGTTTTCCTTTAATCCTTTGGACATATTTATAATAGTTCCTTTAAAATCTTGGTTGGCTAAGTCTAAGATTTTGACCATCTTGGGTTCATTTATATATACTGCTTTTTTCTTGACTATGGATCACACTTTTTTGTTCCTTTGTATGTCTAAATGATTTTTTATTGAATACTGTACATTGTGAACAACACTCTGGATTCTGATATCCTTCCACAAGGCATATGGATTCTTTTTTTTTTTTTAAGATTTTATTTTTTCCTTTTTCTCCCCAAAGCCCCAGGGTACATAGATATGCATTTCAGTTGTGGGTCCTTCTAGTTGTGGCATGTGGGACGCTGCCTCAGCATGGCTTGATGAGCGGTGCCATGTCCGCACCCAGGATTTGAACCAGCAAAACCCTGGGCTGCTGAAGCAGAGCACACGAACTTAACTACTTGGCCACGGGGCCAGCCCCATGGATTCTTGTTTTAACAGGCAGTGTAATTACTGGCTGATGACCTTACACTTATTTAGGCTTCGCTTTCTGTTTTGTTTTTAGAGATCAGCGGAGAGCTTAAAGTGTTTCCCAAGCCCCTCTAACCTGGTAAGATTCAACCGCCAAACTCTTTTCCTGTGGATCTTGTTATGCTTTGATTTTAGGCTTTATTAGGGCAGATCTAGAGTAGGTCTTACTCTAGAATATGATCCTTACCCCAAGTTGTAACCTTTCTGCCGTTTCAGCTAGATGCTAAGGATGTTAAAGATGTGTTTACAAGAATTCCCCTAGCAACACTCTCATTCGAGGGCTGCTCTAACTCTAGTATCTCTATCCTAATCTTAACTCCATATAGTACCTGCTTTCTGGTAAGCCTCAGGTGGTCTTACTCTGCATATATAGCCCAGCTATGTTAGTCAGAGTTCTCCAGAAAAAGAGGTCCAATAGGATATATTTATCATTATCATTTTTAGGAATGGTGCACACAATTCTGGAGGCTGAGAAGTCCCAAGATCTGTAGTCAGCAAGGTGAAGACCCAGGAGAGCTGATGGTATAGTTCCAGTCCAAGGCCAAAGGCCAGAGAAGCAGAGAGCCAATCGTAAGTTCCAGTCCAAGTCCAAGTCTGAAGGCAGGAGAAGAATGCTGTCCCAGCTCAAAGACAGTCAGGCAGAGAGAGAGAGAGACTTACTCAGGCTTTCTGTTCTAGTCAGGTCTTCAACAGATTGGTTGAGGCCACCCACAGTGGAAAGGGCAATCTTCTTTATTCAGTCTACCAATTCAAACATTAATCTCATCCAGAAACACTCTCATAGATACACCCAAATATAATGTTTAACCAAATATCTGGGCACCCCAGGGCCCAGTCAAGTTGAGACATAAAATTAACCATCACCCCAGCCTTCAGCCATGGCTTTGTGGGGGATTCACACATAGACTTCTGGAACCCCCCCCCTTTGCATGGTGCCTTCCTTTCCCTTGCACTGCCCCATGGTTTCCAGCCATTTCAACTGTCTTGAAGTCTGATCTCTGCCTCCTCAGCCCAGTTGGATCTCCTTACTCTGCTCAGACTCTCACTTTGTGCATAACAGTTGGGAAACTGTGCCCAAGTAGAGGAGCTAGGTGATTTGGGGGCTCACCTCATGAGTTTCCTTTCTCTTAGGATCGGTCTTGTGCTTCCTTTTGTCCTCTGTCTGAAAGTAGTTACCACAGAAATTTTGTCCATTTTTATAGTTGTTTATGGTGGGAGGAATAACCTGGTACCACTTAATCATTGCTGGAAAAGTGGTTAATTTACAGCTCCTTTTATAGGGGAGTATACAATTGGGTCATCTTTTTGTTATTGATTCTTAGGGGTTCCTTATAAATCCTAGTTACTAATCCTCTTTTGGTTATACGAGTTCATTTTTCTTAGTCTTGGCTTATCTTTTTAGCTGCCCATGTTGTCTTTTCCCATACAGAAGTACTAAATTTTAATGTAATCACATTTATTTATATTTTACTAAACGATTTGTGCTTTTTGTGTGTCCATTTCCTCAACCTCTGAACACTGAGCCATGAACAGGCTCAGGGCTCAGACTTCTCTATCTACATTAATACCCAAGTAATCTAATCTTGTTTCTTCTGTACACTGATGGCTTTTATACCTAGCTCCTCCTCTGAATGCCAGCCATATACAATAGTTTAAAGGACCCCTGCTGAGCTAGATACTATCTTTCTTCTCGTATTACCCAAGTTTCCTGAATGGGAAGTCTGCAGTCACTGCCTCCATTTCCTCGTTGTCCACTCACTGTTCAGCCCACTGCAGCTTGGCTTTTGTCCTACTATTCCACTGACTGATACTGTTGAGATTTTTTCTTAAGCAACACAGCCCACTCCCTTTTCTTTTCAAATCAAGTCTTAGGTGAAATCACAATATATTAAACAGATAGAAGCAGCAGTGCCTTGGCAATAGCTTGGGGAGGATAAGAAATGCTCGCTTTTCTCATCTCTCCAAGTTGCTCCAGAGGCACCTTTACTGAGCCCTGCTTATCTTTCCAACCTCTCTATTCCTGCAAACATCCTAATCTCCAGCCATACTGAACTATTTGGAGACTCTTGTATCCTTTCCATCTCTGTGCTTCTGCACAATGCTCCTTCATCTGCCTTGAACTTGCTTTAGCCAGTTCTCTTGGCTGAAGTAGCACCTCCCAGCCCACCTTCCTCTTTATCATTCCTTCTTTTTTTGTATCTCTATTATCACACTTAACCACACTGAATTGTAACCTTCTATTTACACATCTGTCTTCCCTACTAAAGTGAGGATTTCTATAGATCAGAGACCCTGTCTTTTCTCCTTTAATCTCTTTAATGTATTATCAACAATGGAATGAATAAATCAATGAATGAATGACAGAGGAAGCTGAGCTAGGCCAAAGTCAGAATTGGGAGACCACCAAGTTTTTAAAAACAGTTTATTAAGATGTAATTCACATACCATACAATTCAGAGGGTTGTACAACCACCACCATAATCTAATTTTTTTTTTAAAGATTTTTATTTTTTTCCTTTTTCTCCCCAAAGCCCCCCAGTACATAGTTGTATATTCTTCGTTGTGGGTCCTTCTAGTTGTGGCATATGGGACGCTGCCTCAGCATGGTTCGATGAGCAGTGCCATGTCCGCGCCCAGGATTCGAACCAACGAAACACTGGGCCGCCTGCAGCGGAGCACGCGAACTTAACCACTCGGCCACGGGGCCAGCCCCGACCATAATCTAATTTTTAAAAATTTTTGTACCCCACAAAAGAAAACTCTACCATTTAACAGTCACTCTCCATTCTCCTACCCCCAACACATTCCCCAGCCGTAGACAACCACTAATCTACTTTCTCAGACGACCAAACTGAACATAGGTAAATTGACCACAAATCCTCAACATCTACCCGATTCTGGACAATAATATGAAATTTGGCAGATAGTTGCCCCACTTTACCAACTTGCACTGCAGAAATTTAAACTTATACTGCAGTTTCAGGTATGATCTACTTTTTATTAGACTGATCGGGAGTTTATTAAAACTAGATCCACATTTAACAAAGATGGTTTGGGTTGGTCTTGCTTACTCATTGTTGCTTTTGAAGTAAACCCCCTTTAGCTGGTTATAGTTTTGGCAGAAAAGAGGGTAACTGAAAAGACTCACAACCTCTGGTAGCAATTGTGAAAAGTGCCTGATAACTAGAAAATACCGTGGATTAAGCATTACAGGAGTGTTTATTTTTGGAGCTTTTATTTTTAACGCGATTCTTCCACAGGCTCACCTGTGGACGGGTTCTGTGCGGGTGAACACGCGGGAAACCTCCAGAATCAGAACTCGGTGTTCCAGGAGGCAGCATTTTTCGAATCGGGTCGGGCGTAGCTCGCGGCCAGGCTGCGGCGTTTCCCCTCGCGCCCTCGCATCCAAGTCGCGTGCGCAGTGACGCAGCCGGCGCGCGGTGACGCGGCGCGCGGCGCGGTGCACGCTGGGATATTTAAGTCTTCTCCGCGGCGCGGAGCCGCGATGTCTCCGGCGGCTGCGGCGGCTGGAGGAGGCGACCGGCGGCGGCCGATAGCGAGTGTCAGGGAGGCCCAGGGCCGGGGCTGGGGCTCCGGCGGGCCGGCTGGGGCGGCGCTCCTCGGGCTGTCGCTGCTTGGCCTCGTGCTGTACCTGGTGCCGGCGGCGGCCGCGCTGGCCTGGCTGGCTGTGGGGGCTACCGCGGCCTGGTGGGGGCTGAGCCGCGAGCCCCGAGGTTCGCGCGCTTTCTCCTCGCTCGTTCGGAACGCGCGGCGCCAGCGAACGCTGCTCGTCTCGCCTCCGGCCAAGTCGGCAGTAAACGGAAATCTCCTAGAGCCGCGGACGCTGCTCGAAGGACCCGACCCCGCTGAACTGCTCCTTATGGGCAGTTACCTGGGCAAGCCCGGCCCCCCGCAGCCTGCCCCCGCTCCGGAGGCCAGGGACCTGCGAGAGAGGCCTGGCCGCCGCCCACCCGTCCGCTCCCCGCCGCCCGCTCCCTCGGCGCATCGCGTTCGCCACATTCACCCCTCTCTCCCCACTCCTCTTCTCCGATCCCCTAGGAGGCCTTCCCACCGGTAAGATACGCTGACCCTTCCCCAGACCCTCCTTTCTGTCGACTGGCTTTGAACTGAGCACTTGACCTTTGAATCCGATTTTCTTTTTCATTAAGTCCAAAGTGGCTTGTTTCGTTTTGTGCTCTTTAAACACCTTGGTGGGTGTCACCCATCTCCTGCCCCCCTTTAACCTTTGGAATGAGATGTAATGGCAAAGCTGTTGCCTTCTTTGCGGTTCATAAAACTGTCTACATTTCAGTACAGTAGAGATTTAGCAGTATACTGGTAAACCGCTAAAATACCCCTACTTCGGGTGAAAATATCTTTATCTTTCCAGTGTATTCACATAGTATGTTTTGTTAATATTTTTTTTCTTTGGACCAATAAGAGAAATTCTATCCGCCAAACTCAAAGAGGTGTTCCCGAGAAACACCTCTTTGATTGGTAAAACTTGATTGATAAAGATGTTCAAATTAAAGAGACATTTTCATTTAGTCCAGATAGCTGAGTGATACAAGAGAACACAAAAATTTGGTGAAAATACTAGATTCTTGAAAAATACATTTAGTTGAGAAGATGAACATTTAGGCGTTAAAAATGTTTGACTTTGGGTGTGTATTACTGATGACTTGGCATGAAAGATTGAAGGATTTGAAAAGCTCCCCACTGCGTGTCCTAAAGCACACTTTTCTTCCATTGTAGTTTTACGTGTGTGGGCAAGGTTTTCAATTTCCCTCTCAAATTGTTGAAGTCCATTGTAGAGACAGCTGTTAAGCAGCTGCCGCTTTATGCCCTTAGATGGAATGGGGGAAAGTTGCCATAAAAAGACTGGTTCTGTGTTGCTTAGAAATAAGTTTAAACTCTCTGGAAAATAATCTCAACCCACATGGTTCTTTCGTTAGTCATTTAAATTTTCTGATGTTCTTTTAATCTTCTTTGGTTCCATAACGTGTCTCGTTCTCCACAGGGATTGTGGGACTTTATCAAATCGGTTTGTAATAACACCTCGAAGACGATATCCAATCCAGCAGCCCCAATATTCCTTTCTGGGGGTGCTTCCCACCGTGTGCTGGAATGGTTGTCACAAGAAGGCTGTGCTCTCTCCTCGGAATTCCAGGATGGTGTGCAGCCCAGTGACGGTGAGGATAGCTCCTCCCGACCGCAAACTGACTCGTTCTCCAAGGTGAGTATAATTGTTGGGAGAATTGACTCCTGTTTTGTCTGCTTTATTCTTCTGTGGTGGTTCCTCTGACAAAACAACTTATAAAGCAAAAAAAAGGAAGTAGCTGCTTATCAAATGAGAAATCCCAAATTCTAGTTGAACTATCTTTTATTTTTTTGCTTTTTGCCTTCAACTGTAGCTTTAATTACTCAGGGCAATTTCTCTGAGTGTATAAATTATACTTTTGCTTGTTGATTAGCTTCTGATTTCCAGTGACTGAAGTCTATGCTATATGGCATGATAATTAAAATATCTTAATGCGAGAATCTTGTCTTTCATTGCAGACCAGAGCAGATGATCAGCTCAACACTGTCCTCACCATCAAGTAATGCCCCAGACCCATGTGCAAAGGAGACTGTACTGAGTGCCCTCAAAGAGAAGAAGAAAAGGACAGTGGAAGAGGAGGAGGACCAAATATTCACTGACAGCCAGGAAAATAAAAGAAGGTAACAGGCCCAGCAGAGTACTACACCAGCTTCCCGCATGGACTGCTGGGGTTTATTGAGCTAGAGATCACTCCCAGAGGGACGCAGGGGCCAGCTGCAGGTGATGAGCTTTAGTAGGGTCCCTTCTTTGGCTTTCATGGAAGAGCTTGGTAATAGGGCTTTAATGCTGTTTATTTCCTAATGTACAGGTTAGATGAATTTTATAATTTATCTTTTCCATAAGTACTAGAGATAAGCCAAGAAGTCTTAGCCACTTTAGTCTCATACTTTTGATGGAAATGTGTTAAGTTTTATTTTTGAGGGAGAATGCTGAAAGTCTTCCCCCACAGTCTTGTGTTGTTCAATTATTTGGGTAATCACCAGTTTAAATGACATAATTGTGCTGAAGGGAACGCTTGGCAAAGAAAAGTAAAGATTAGAGCATGGTGGATTTGTCAGTAATGAGAGTAAAACCAATTTCATTATTTGGTTTTCTTTAACTTAATGAAAATGGAGTAAACAATCTGTTTCCTAAGTTTGGAAAGAGAGGAGGTTAAAGTCACTAATTAAGCTGCAGAATTGCTTGTGGCTTTCCAAGAAGTCAGCTAAGGATTCCGCTCATCTTTTAATTCAACACATTGAGCAGCCACTACATGCCAGAGCCTATTATAGGTAACTGGATAGAGCAGTGGACAAGACAGAGTCCTCACAGGACTTGTTGAGGGAAAGAGACAAAAAAAAAAAAAAAGATAAAATAAACAAGGTCATTATAGATTATAGGTGTATGGAGATAAAAAAAAAAAACCAGGGTGATATAACCAAGGAATGAGAAGGGGGCTTCTTTGTGTAAGGTGGTCAAGGAAGCCTCTCTGAGGAGACAGTGGATCCGACAGGTTCAAAGTTGACCATCTTTGATACTGTAGGTGACCAAATTAAGTAGGGAAATATTGATCAGTGCAAGTGCATTTATGTAACATAGAAAGATCAGGTGGTGATGACTAGGTTATGATTTACAAGTGAGCCATTTGAGCTAATGTCAGCTAGCTAAGCAGGAGTTGTGGGGAGAAGAATAACTATTCCTGTGTTGTTAGGTTCTCGTGTTCTCCAGGATGCTAATTTTTCTTGATCCTAGTCAGCCTATAACTGAGGATTCTGTAATATCTTTCCCGTTATTGGAATAAGCAGTGATTATGTGCACCATGCGTAGATGCTTCTATGTGGTATGTAAAGTTTTTCCCTGACAGATTTGCCTTATTGACCTCCAGAGCACTATGGAATGTGTGGGTTGGTGCCTAAAGTGTTTCATTTTTAATTGTGGATGGTAGGTTAAATTTGTGATTGTAATACTTTGGTGAGAAGTTAGCAAATAATTGTTAACCTGAATAGTTCAAAAAGTCTTGAAGTATTTTCATACTTTCCTTATTGCCAGGACAATCTTAGAATAAATTTACCTTTCAGAATCTTTGGGATTTGAAGCAACGTTTTCCTTGTCTAGCATGAAACCTATGCTTTACAGAAATAGTGAAAGGTCCCAGGAATGTGACACTATACTTTAGAAAAAAAGTCATTCAATTGAGAGTTTTTTGATTTGTCACAGGCGCCATGATAGCAGTGGGAGTGGACATTCAGCGTTTGAGCCCCTGGTGGCCAATGGAGGCCCTGCTTCCTTTGTGCCTAAGTAAGTAAGAGTCCATCTGGATGGGAGAGACTGTTTGGGAAAAGGTTATCAGAGTTATTGACCTGGAGATTTTCCTTTGGTTTTTGTGTTGCTTTATTAGTTCAGGGTCAAAGCTTGGAAATGAGAGAGGAACATTTTCAGTAATTTGCCACAATAGTTATCTTCTAATTCCTTTTAATATTTTTTCATTAATATGGATAAAATATACTAAGGCTAAGAGGATTTGTAAATTTATTTAATATATGAGTATAGAAACAGAAAGATCACAAGGTTTGTGCAATGGATAAAATGCAACAATATGAAATTTAAGATAAATGTTAAGTTTCTACGTTCGAGAAAGAATCGAATGGAAGGGAAAGTGGCTCAGAAATATGTTTGAAAGGACTTGGGGTAACTTACATGCTTAATTTGAGTCAGCAGTATGATATGGCTGCCAAAAAAGCTAATGTGCTCCTAGTCTGTGCCTAGAAGAACAAAGACTAGAATGAGGCAGGTAAGTGGTAGTCCTGCTTTCCTTAGTTGCCTCAGATTGTCCGTGGGATGTTGCCTTTGGCTCAGTGTACTACACTTGGAGAGAGGAAATACACAAACTGAAATTCATTCTCAGTGAAGTAACTAAGATGTTAAGGGGGGTGATGGTGGCTGAGGGAGTTTTGAAGGTGTAGAAGTACTAGCCCAGAGGAGAAAAATCTCAAGGGAATAAGGAAACAAAAGAGGGAAGGATAATGGTCTCCAAAAACTGAAGGACTGTCACATGAAAGAAGGAAGACAACTTACTTGGTTCAGCTCCATGGGCAAAAGTTGGAGGAAATACATTTTCGTTCACCGTAAGAATAAAGTGGTCCGTGGTGGACATCCATCACTCTAGGAGACAGTGAGTTGTCTGCATTGTAACAGAGCGTGGATGACTATTCCACAGGAAAGATATGGGGAAGTTCTGTTTTAGGTGGTGTGTTTTGACATGTATACACCTGTGAAACCTTTACCGCAGATAATGAACATAACTATCACCTCCAAAAGTTTCCCCATGCCCCCTAGTGATACCTCCTTCCAGTCCTTCCACCATGCCCAGGCATCCTCTGATCTGCTTTCTGTCACTATAGATTACTGTGCATTTTCTAGAATATTATGTAAGTGGAATCATACTTCTAATTTTTAAAATATTTGGCTTTCCCTTTCTGACTTTGGTCAGATATATTTAGCCAAATTGTTAACAATAAAATTCAGAGCAGTATGCCTTTTTATTAAGTTTATTTAAGAAACTTAAATGTAACCGTGAATGAAGCCTTAAAAGAATGTTGCCTTCAATAGCACATCTAACTATGTTTTTCCCTTTTTTAGGCCTGGGTCTCTGAAGAGAGGTCTCAATTCCCAGAGCTCAGATGACCACTCGAATAAGAGATCCCGCACCTCCTCTGTGAGCTCCTTGACAAGCACGTACACGGGTGGCATCCCTAGTTCCAGCCGCAATGCCATTACCAGTTCTTACAGCTCGACTCGAGGTTTCTCTCAGGTTCGTTCACCCTGTGGGCTGGGAGAAATGGGTTCCCAGCGTTCATTCATTGATTAGCCAGTGTTTACTAACCACCTTCCATCTGTCAGATGTTGGGATTACCTCTAAGCTAACAGAAGATACAAACCGTTGAATGATAACTGTAGACAAATGGGCAGAATAGAAAGCCCAGAGAGTAAATCCCTGCATCTGTGGAAACCTGATGCAAGACAGAGCCATGATTGCAGATAAATGGACACAAGATGAATAATTCAATAAATGATATTAATTTGAAAAGGTAGATCGAGTCCGGATTGCATTGAGTCATAAAAGAAATTCATCCTATAGGCATTGAGAATTTAGTGAAAGTTTTCTAGACGAGAAGTGGTTGTAATTTTTTTTTGGAAAGAGAATTTGGTATAACATAGGGAACCGAGCACCCTTTGCTACCAGACGGACTTGGGTTCAAATCATTTCTCCAACACTTAGTAGCTATAGGGCCTTGAGCAGTAAATCACTTAAACTCTCTTTTTCTCATCTCTAAAGGATTGTTGTAAAGATTGGAAGTAATGTTTGAAAAGTACCCATTACAGTGCTTGTCAGTAAGTGGGTACCCAATATATAGTAGCTAGGAAAAAATAAAGCATGTGTGGAGGAAGATTTTCAAGGGGAGAAAAATTTTGAGATAAGTTAATCAATCCAGAAGGCTCTTACAGTAATATAAATGAAATATGAAGGCCCAAGACAGAGCAGTTGTGGGAATACAAAGAAGAGGATGATAGTAACCTTTACCCTGAGCACTTATTCTATGCTAGGCATTATGCTGTGCACTTTACATACATTTATTCATTTAATCATCACAACAGGCCTATTAAGTACATACTCGTTATCCTTATTTTCTAAATCTTTTTATTTTGTCGAATTTCAGATGTACGCAAAAGGAAAGAAAATATCATGATGAACGTCCATTTAGCTTCATAGTTAACAGTATTTTGTCAGTCCTGTTCCATCAGCGTTACTCCCCCCACTCTCCCGTCCTGCCCCCCATTTGTTTTTGCTCTTCTGTTTTAAAGTAAATTGCAAATGTCATTTCACCTATAGGTACCTCAGTGTATTTTTAAACTTTTTTGTGTGTCTGAGAGGAAGATTTGCCCTGGGCTGACATCTGTGCCGTCTTCATCTTCTTTGTACATGGGATGCCTCCACAGCATGGCTGATGAGCAGAGCAGGTCCACACGCAGGATCCAAACCTGCGAACCTGGGCCGCCGAGGCGGAGGCCTTGCAGCTTTAACCACTCAGCCATGGGGCCAGTGCCTTAAATGTTTTTTTTTTAACATTAATAACCACAATATCATTATTCCTCTTAAACAATTAATAATGATTCTTTCTATTAGTTAATATCACCCCATGTTCAAATTGCCCTTATTACCCCAAACTATCTTATTAGTTACTTTGTTTGAATCAGGGACCAAAACTCAATTCAGTCCATTGGTTCACTTGTCTTTCAGGCTCTTTTAATCTGTGGTACTACTACATCTCTTTTTTTCATACTTTGGAAAAAACTGGATCATTTTGTTATGTAGAATTCCCCACATTCTGGATCTAGTTTGCGTCATTATGTTGTCATTTTAGCATACACTCTATCCCCTGCTTTCTCTGTAAATGGGTAGTTGGACCCTGAGGCTTGGTTACATTCAAGTTCAGCTATTTTGGCAGAATGTTGTGTAGGTGGGGCTGTGTACTTCCTGTTGCATCACCTCAGGAGCACATGATGTCTCGTCACTTCCCTTTGGGGATGTTAATATTGATCACAGCATTCAGGTGATGTCCGTCTGATCCTTTCATTTTAATTTTCCTGTGAGCTTTTCATCTGATGATTTTAGCAGCCATTTATCATCTTTGCCTAGGTCCATTGTTTGCAAAATGGTGATATTTTAAATCTATCGTTCCCTCTGCATTTTTAACTGAAATTCTGTATAGAAGAACATGCCCTACCTGTAGGAATGACGGGATAATAAGAAGGCATTGATGCTGTAGCTACCTCCATAGTTGGCCAATGAAGGTTTTGCTGCTGTTATTGATTATCTTTATGAATTTATGAACTTTTGTAAAGTTCATGATCCTTAATACATGATCCGTAATACATTGTAGTTGTTCTTTTTGATGTGCAAACTTTTCTAACTTTGGCCAGTGGGAGCCCTTTCAAATTGGCTCCTGTATCCTTTTGACCTCAGTAGTCTTAGATAGCTTCATTGCTTTTTGCCCCTCGCCCCCAAAATCGTTCTTGTACATTTCTGACCCAGACTCATGTTGGCTATTTCTTCAGATAGCCTTGGTTTCTTTCAGTTCGAGATGATATTTAGAGACTACCAGCTGGATTCTAGGAGAGTTAAGATATACATATCCTCTAGAAAGAGGACTCTAAATCATTAATTCTTATTGATATTTCAAATTCAGATTTAGGATTACAGAATTTTTTACATAATTTCTTTGATTTTATATTTTTATGTACTCTTATACAAAAAAATGTTGGTTCATATTATTTGCTTGATCCTAGTACACACAATTTCAAAATAACAATGTAGTGTCATTATTAAAAGTAAGACTTAAGAAATCAGCTTAAGAAGTATTTGTAGTTCATTTTGTTATTAGTGTATATCCCTCTACAGATACTGAGAATGTACAATCAGAGTATGTTTTTTAAAGTAACATGAATTAATTTGTTCTCAGTTGGTTACATGACCGCCTTGATATACAATGAAGTTCATTTGTTCAGTAGGTTTCAACATTTTAGGGGTTTCTATGTTTTTCTTTTTGATATAGTTTGTTTTCAGTTATGTAAAATACTTAAATTGTTCCAAAGAACATGTAATAAAACAAGATAGACTCGAAGTCCAATTTCTTCTCTTTTCACTCCACATTGTTCCTGTCTTCTCCATTTTTATTTTTATTATCCTTCCATTGTTTGTCTGTTTTTTTAAACTGTGCAAATCAGTGTCCATCTCTAAACCCCCACCTTCTAATATCTCAGGTTGTAATACATACAAGTTTGAGCCTTGCTCTTTTCACTTACTATATACTAGAGGTCACTCTGTAGGCAGTATATATAGAAATTCATTCTTTTTCATTTTTTTTTTTTTCCAACCATGTGGTTACTCTTGTCCTCTATTAGTAAACAGCGGGTTGTTTCAATCTTCAGCTCTTACAGATAGTGCTACAGATAATACTTTGGTTCATATATCATTTCACACTGTGGCCATTGTACTTCTGGGATAGATTCCTAGAAGATAGATTCCCAGGTCAAAGATTAATTGCATGTGTAATTTTGCTAGATATTGTTAAATTCCCCTCTTTAGAGTGTGTACCACTTAGTGTTCCCACCAGCATGGTTTGAGAGTGACTGCTTCTCTACAGTCTCAACCAACAAATTAGGTTGTCATACCATTGGGTTTTTATCGACTTGACAGGTGAGGAATCGTATTTATTTTGTGTCTCTTGAGTGAGTTTGAACAGCATTTTATATGTTAGAAAAACATTCCAAATGAACTACAGATTTAAATGTAAAATAGAAACTGTACAAGTGTTTGTGAAAACAGGCTTCTCATGCATTGCTGGTGGGACTGTCAGGTGGTACAGTTCTCTAGAGGGCAGAGTGGGAGTACTTACCAATGTTAGAGATGCACATGCCCTTTAATCCAGCAGATTTACTTTTAGGAATTAATCCTACACATGTACTCAAAGACATATACAAGGATGTTGATTGTAGCATTATTTTAATAGCAGAAGCTTGGAAACAATGTAAATGTACCTTTTCAGGAGGCTGGTTGAGTAACTAACTTACAGTATTTCCAGTATTTACAGTAAGTTGAAATACCACGTAACTATTGAAAAAATAAGGCAGCTTAATGGGCATTGATGTGAATGATCTCAAAAATACATTGTTATAAAAACAAGGTGCAGAACCACGTGTATAATGTTCTCTGTTATTTGTGCTGCTGGTTTCTTTAATCTTTTAATGTGCATGGAATACTTCTGACAGGATATATTGGAAGCTGGTAGTAACTATTGAGATAGGAGGGAAACTTAATTTTTACTGTATGCTCTACTTGTTGGAATTTGTAACATGTGCTACAAGTATTACCTTTCCTGGTTTCACAATTTTTTAAGTATAGATAACTGTTAAGTAAACAGTAAAATTCCCCTGTCCTGACTATCCCAGTCTCCATCTCATAGGTACCTATTGTTAATATTCCTACTGTGTGCATGAACATAATATAGAGAGTTTTTGGAGTGTTTTACACAAATGGGATCATGGCATATGTGCTTTTTTGCCATTATTTTAATCATTATATATTGCATAACATTACATGTCGTGTAACCTGTCTTACTTTTTTTAATGGCTTTTTTTTTATTACATTATAAGTGCGGGAAAGCAAATATCATAAGTGTATAGCTCCGTGTAACTACCACCCAGGTCAAGTAATAAATCATTTTCAACACCCTAACACCCTTCTCATATCCACTTCCACTCACTACTCCTTCCCTCCTGAATATTAGCACCATGTTTAGTTTTCCCTGTTTTTGAACTTTATATAACGTTGGGCTTCTTTCACTCAACATTTTACTTGTGAGATTCATCCATGTTGTTGCATGTAGCAGCAGGTCTTTCATTTTCAATGCTGTCTACTGTTCTGTTATATGAATATACCACAATTAATTTATCCTACCATTGGCCAATTGGCTTTCCAGTTTGGAGCTATTATGCATAAGGCTGCTATGGACATTCTTGTATAAGTCTTTTGCTGCACATATATAATGTATGTGTATGTTCAGTTTTAGCAGATGCTGTTGAACTTTTTTTTAAAGTGCTGTTTCCGTAGATACTCCTGCCAGTGCAGTATAAGATTTTGTTCCTGTGGTTACATGTCCTCACTAACATTTAGTGTTGCTAGTCTCTTTAATTACCCATTCCAGGGGGTGTGAATTAGTATTTCATTGTGGTTTTAATTTGCATTTCCCT